GAGAGAGAGAGAGAGAGAGAGAGAGAGAGAGAGAGAGAGAGAGAGAGAGAGAGAGATGCAAGTATACACTTAATGCATGAGAGGCCGTACTTTTACAGTGAACGCATCAAGTATATGGCATGTGATACATGGATTGCAAACAACCTTCTGCCTCCTTCATGAGAGAGGGAGGGAGAGAGAGAGAGAGAGAGAGAGAGAGAGAGAGAGAGAGAGAGAGAGAGAGAGAGAGAGTATATTCCATGGCCAGTGGTTGGCAGAGCCATAGCCAGTGATGATCAGAGGGATTCTCCTAGATATGGAGATAGGGTGAGAGAGTCGGATTGGATCAGCCGACAGGATAGAGGAGGGTTGCAGTTTGGCGAGCTGTACCTAATGGCTGTACTTGCTCACCAGTAACAGCTTTTTTTTCTGTCAGCAGCCATAGATGTGAGATCCAATCGGAGGTGTAGGAGTCATAGGTTTTCATGAGGCTGCACTCTCCTCAGTGATAAGCTTGGGTTACACTGTGAATCACTCTCCGGAGTTGTGAAACCCATGGGCGAACATGCTCATCCACATTGTGGCAAAACAGGGAGAGAGAGAGACAGACAAACAGGCAGATGGACACACACACACACACACACACACACACACACACACACACACACACACACACACACACACACACACACACACACAGAGGTTGCGGGGGATTTCTCCCGCACATCTTCCAGGCTGCGCCACATGGCCCGACCTTTTTTCTTTCTTAAACAAGCCCGCCGTGCCTTCGCCAGCGGTGCACACCCAGTCCTTGCCATCTTCCTCCAACCCTTCCCCACCCTTCTCCTTCTTCTCCCCCTGATACTCTGTCATCTCCTCAATGTCCTCATCCTCCCCCCCCTCGTCCTCTGCCACCTCCTCTGTGTCCCGCTCACGATCCCCGTCCTTCTACGCCATCTCCTCCTGCTCTGCCAAGTCGTCTTGCACCGCCTCCTCTTTGTCCTTTTCCTCCCCGTCGTCGTCTGCCGTCTCCTTCTGCGCAAGGATTGAGACCCACATCGATCCATGGTAATGAAAGAAAAAGGCCATTCCCGCAAAAAAAAACAAAGGAAAACACAGAAAAGTTCCTTTTGCAAACGCACCTGGCTATATTTGAGGCCAGGTTCATTTGCGCCTTGCCATCTCTCTCTCTCTCTCTCTCTCTCTCTCCCTCTCTCTCTCTCTCTCTCTCTCTCTCTCTCTCTCTCTCTCTCTCTCTCTCTC